CTGTTTTTTCTAATTAAATTCCAGACACACCAGCAAGCAGAACGCTGCTTCACCTCTGAGCTCCATGCTATCTGGAAGCCATGTGATTACGGTGCTGCCAGAAATGCTTTTTGGGAGACATCTACAACACAAATGCAGGGGAAAGAAAGAAAAGCATCAATTCGTTGTGTCTGCTGAAGAGAGAGGAGCAGAAAAGGGGCAGTGAGGGCTGCTGCAATGCCAGAGCCCAAAACAAGCAGCCCTAGAATCATAATGTATCACAGCAAGCAAGGGCAGGGCCTGGGTCTGGATAAGAGGAGGATAGTCTTGTCTAAATCGAACAGCTCCTGGAATGTTGCACGTATTTAGAGATGGAGAAACTGAGCCACTGAGGAGCTGGTTCCATTGCCCACGGCCCCACAGTGAGCTTGTGAGGTGCTGTGGAGCCATGTACACTCTGTCTCTACACCAAAATGTACCCCACCCTGTGCTGAGCAGCTCCCCCAAGAAGCATAGGTCATTAGTGAGAATTGTCCCTTGAATCTGAGTTGGGACCACAGACAAGCCAAGGGCTGAGACTGCCATTCTCTGGGCCACATTAGTCTTTTGTGCACAGTGACCAAAGATCCAGGACCTTCCCAGACCACATTCTCCCAGTTGTTTCTACCCCAAACCAGATCCCACACAAACATGGCAGAAGAGAAGTGAGGGGCAGGCCTGTTAAATCTATATTGGAGGCAGAAGACAACACTCAAACACATGGGCACCAATCCAGTGTACCAGGCATCATGGGAAATACACTATGCCGCCCCACAGCAGGATGAGGCAACCTGACCCTTGCCCTGCCTACATATATGCATCGCTTCTATCTTTACAGTCCAGGGGGTGAGAAGTGTCCACGGAGAAGGGCTCCCAAGTACAGACCTCAGCCCACAAAGCCAGCCAGGCCAGGGAGCTGGGCCCCTCTAGCTTGGCCAACAACTCTGAAGCCTTCTCCCCAAGTCTGACCCCAGACAACCCCAGGCCTTGGAGAATGTGCAGCCTCAGCTTTCCCAGCACCAGCTCCATCCACCCTCACTGGTGTGCGGCCACATCATCACCCTGGCATCTCCAACAGCTGTCCCAAGGGCCAGGCTGTAGAAGGACAGGAGCGCTCTGGCCTCTGCCAAGGGTGCGCTCAGCTCTGAAACACGCCTCCTGGGGCTTGTGCCAGCTGCCTCAGGTTTCACAATCGGCACTTCTTCCTGGGTTTCCTTGGTCCCCAGGCTGCAGGCTCAGCCCTGTAGTGGAGTGAGGAGGAGGGACTGAGAGGGCACCAGGAATCAAGTACTGAGGTGCAATGCAGCAAGCTGGTAATAGCCAGCTTGGCAGGGCATGGAGCCAAATCAGGGTATAAGAGCCCCAGGGTGACCACACGAGAGAGCTGGACCCAGGACTCTAGCAAGAAATTCAGGAAGTGCCTAGGTTGGAGACATGCAGACAGATCCCGGCACAGGGACATGAGCCAGGACCAGAGCTCAGGCTCTGAATCCAGTCAAAGGCCTCTCTCCACCCTTCCCTAGGACCTTAGGGTTAAAAACTTAAGACACGTAGGCTGAATCATGAACCCTCAGCTGTCCACATCCTACTCCCTGGACCCTGTGAATATTACCTTATACGGCAAAAGAGGCCGCAGAAGTGATTAGGTTAGGCATCTTGAGTTGGGGAGGACTAACCTGGATTATTCCACTGGGCCCTGAAAGTAATCACAAGTGTCCTTCTAAGAGAAAGGCAGAGGGAGAGTTGGCTGCAGAAGAGGAGGAGGCGATGTGACCAAAGAAGTGGGTGTTGGAATGATGCAGCCACAAATCAAGGGAGGCTGGCAGCCTCCAGAAGCTGGAAGAGGCCAGACTTCCCTAGAGCCTCCAGAGGGAACCAGCTCGCCAACACCTTGAGGTTAGCCTTTAAAGAACCATTTTGGATTTCTGACCTCCAGAACCATGAGAGAATCAATCATGTTGTTTTAAGCCACTCAGTTTATGGTAACTTGTTACGGCAGCCAAGGGAAGCTGAGGCTGACAACCAACAGCTGCAGTGCAGAAAGGCTCACTGACCTGGCTGTTGGCAAATCTGCACCCGCCCCTCCCTCCAGGCCTCACCTTTGGCTGGGCCCTCTCCCCGCACCTCACATCTACTATGTCACTGAGGCCCACTTCTCAGAGTCATGCCTGCTTCCCAGGCTGAATCATGTTCTTGCCCCCCATTGAGCCTCCCTGCCTCCAAACCCCAGTACAGTACAACCACAGCAGGCTGCTGAAACTCAAGCTCTTGGGCAGATCCCTCCCCAAATCCTCTGCTGGCTGCCTGCTGCATATAGGACACTGTGCAGATCCCAGGTCATTTGGGGCTGTGGTCCCCACAAGGCCTCCAGCATCTATTCTACCCTCCGTTCTCTCTTCTTCGAGTCTACCATGGGCTCCCTGGCAGCCTGGAAAACTCCTAGTGAGCTGAAGGCAAAGTAAAGGATGATGTCTGGTTGGGAGGGGTTGGCTTCCCAGCCTGGGAGAAAGGCTGGCTGGGGGCCATCAGGTGGAGACTTTGCAGGCTGGCCAGCTTCACTCAGCCACGTGGAGGAGCCGCTCAGTGCTGGCGCTTCACCCTCTCTCCCCAGCAGGTTGGCCTCAGCAGTAGCAGGGCAGAGCAGCAACTGTGGTGTTGTGCCTCCTTTGCCGGTCAGGGAGGACACCACAGCCTGACAGCAATGGGCAGAGGCTTGGCACTGACTGCTTCTGAGAAGAAAGCAGCAGCCAGGGTCACTGGCACAGGGTTGTCTGACTCCTTTCAGCCCCAGGGCAATGTGTATGGCGGGGACTGAGGCCACAGCAGCCCAGCAGGTCTCCAAAGTGGGAACCATCTGCCCCTCCTCCTCTGTTTCAAGGAGTGCCCAAGGAATCCCAGTAGAGCAGCCCTTGGAGGACTTTCTGCCTTTGCACCTCAGAAAGGAGTGGCCAACTGGGAGGGGCATGTTTTATTTGCTCCATATGGTGCTTTTCAGAAATCTGAAGCCACACTTTAAAATCAGGAGGATTCACATAAAAATTATGATATCTGAATTTTCTTGGCAGCAAGAGAACCAGCTGTCCCAGATCCACAATTCTATCCAGTCAAGGTCAAGGGAGCCAAGGAAGGGCTATCCCTTCCTTGATCTACCTGTACCTATAGTGAGGTCAGGGCCAGGTGCCATGCATGGCCACATTCATGCTGTTGTTTTCATTTTAGCAGAGATGTTTTCACTGTTATCTGCATCTATAGCAAAAGTAAAGAAATGAAAGCCAGGCCAAGAGTGGGTCCGATCTTTTTTTTCCCTCTACTGCTCTGGTCATTGGCTTGCTGGACCCTGCAGGCCTCTGAGTGTGCAACTCTTGTCTTAGGGTGGCAGGATATTCTGCAAATGGCTCTATGAATCTGAAAGGGAGCCCACGTGCCCAGCGTATGACCTAGGCATCTTGGCAGAATCCCAAGCTCAGGCCCTGGAAGGCTTGAGACAGCCAGGCCTTCCACACCAACAGCAAAGTCAGCTTTCTCCATGCACATGGTCTCAGAGTCAGCCCACCCTTTCCAGGTGTGGGCTACCACCTGGCTGAGACTGGAACCATCCAGGACCACCACAGGTTCCTCATGGATGTGTAACCTGTCCAGTGCATAGCCAGCTTTGCACAAGAAGACTGATTCACTTCCTGCAATTAGTTGAATGGTGGCCCTCAAAGATACCACGGCCTGGTCCCCACAACCTATGACTGGTACTACATGGAGGAAAACTAGACTTTGCAGGTGGGATTAGATAAAGGGTCTTGCTTGAGTTGGGAGGTGGTCCTGGATTATCTAAATGAAACCTAAATGGAACTACGCCTACCCTGCTAAGAGGGAGGTAGAGGCAGTGTAGCACAATACACACAGACAGGAGAGGAAGAGGTGATGTGACCATGGAGTCAGAGATTGGAGTAATGTAGTGACAAACCAAGACATGCCCACACCCACCAGAAGATTAAAGAAGGGGAATTCTCCCCTCGAGCCTCCAGACGGAGGGTGGCTCAGCTGACCCCTTGAGTCCAGCCCAGTGAGACTGATTCCAGACTTCTGATGCCCAGCACTACAGAAAAATTAATGTCTACTGTTTTAAGCCTCCTGGGTGGTGTGTCACAGCTGCCTAGGGCTTAGAGGGAAGTGAAGTGCCAGGACCACCCAGTCCCAAGTACAGACAGGACTTCTGGTTTGGCCAGGGCTTCTCATCTTGCACTTGCCAGCTGGGGCTCCCTCCTCATAGCCTCATAGCCTCAGGCAGGGATGAAAGACAGAGGCCAGGGCATGGCGCAGAACTCAGAGTTGAA